TGCCTGGGAGAAGAGACCACCCCCCACCTGGCTACAACCTCCTTTCAGGTAGTTGTAGAGAGCAATAAAGCCCCCTTGAGCCTCCTTTTCTCCAGGCTAAACAACCCCAGCTCCCTCAGCCACTACTCATTAGACCTGTGCTCCAGACCCTTCACCAGCTTAGTTGCTCTTCTTTGGACTTGCTCCAGCTCCTCAATGTCTTTCTTGCAGTGAGGGGTCCAAAACTGGACAAGGGATTCAAGTGTGGCCTCACCAGTGCCAAGTACAGAGGGACAATCACTTCCCCAGTTCTGCTGGTCACACTATTGCTGATACAAGCTTTTGTATGTTTATATGTTTACTAAGGACAAACTCAATTACCCACCTTGGATGATGGAATTATCCTCCGTTTTGGTGGTTTTATCTGCTTCTGCTGGCTGTGGTGGGCAGTCACTGCCTGCTTATCCATAGATATAGTGGAGAGCTGTAACATTTTGCTAACAGCTGTAGAGGTGTCTACTGGTGATGGCTCGTGGAGTTTTACCTGGGAGGAGAAGGACCCCAGCCCAGGAGGAGAAACAGGGACTGCCTGCATTTGTTGTTGCTGTCGCTGGGTCAGATGGCTCAGAACTGGGGAGGGTTCAGGCTGGGATTTCAAGTCTGGTCAGTATTGGGAAAAAGAAATATCAGAATTAAAGCATCGAACTCTATTATTCATGCTTCTACCCTTTTTGAAAGAATATGGGTGACTTGACACACTGGACAGCTATGATCTTATAGAATGTGCAAGTCTCTTTCAGACATCACATGAGTTTCATATTTAATATTACCATTGTAATAATAAGACCAACACCTGATCACAGAATCCCAGAATCAACTAGGTTGGAAAAGACCTCTGAGATCATCAAGTCCAACCCTTGATCCAACCCTGCCGTGGTTCTCAGACCAGGGCACTGATGCCACATCCAGTCTCACCTTAAACACCTCCAGGGACAGAGAATACACCCACTCCCTGGGCAACCCATTCCAATGGTTGATTATCCTCTCTGTAAAAAATTTTTTCATAATATCCAACCTAAACTTCCCCTGGCAGAGCTTAAGACCGATCCCTCTTGTCTTACTGCTGATTCCTGGGAGAAGAGACCAACCCCCACCTGGCTACAACCTCCTGTCAGGGAGTTGTAGAGAGTGATGAGGTCTCCCGAGCCTCCACTTCTCCAGGCTAAACAACCCCAGTTCCCTCAGCCTCTCCTCACAGGACTTGTGCTCGTGTCCCTTCACCAGCCTCATTGCTCTTCTCTGGACCTGCTCCAGCACCTCAATATCCTTCCTGAACTGAGGGGTCCAGAACTGGACACAGCAGTCAAGGGGCGACCTCACCAGTGCTGAGTACAGGGGAAGAACCACTTCCCTGGTACTGCTGCCACACTGTTCCTGATACAGACCCAGATGCCATTGGCCTTCTTGGTCACCTGGACACACTGCTGGCTCATGTTCAGCTTCCTGTCAATATTCTCTACTTTAAATAAACAGCTGTGGGCAAGCATTATTCAGAATCATAGAAATGTTTAAGTTGGAAAAGACCTCTAAGATCAAGTCCTGCCGTTAACCCAGCACTGCCAAATCCAGTACTAAACCATGTCCCTAAGCACCACATCTACATGGCTTTTAAATCCCTCCAGGAATGGTGATTCCATCCCCTCCCTGAGCAGCCTGTTCCAATGCTTGACAACCCTTGCTGTGAAAAATTTTTCCTAATATCCAATCTAAACCTCCCATGGCA